GGAAATGTGCCTAGCGGCTCAGGTACCCGGGCTGTTTGGTTCGATCTGTTTGGGAGTGCCTTTGCCGTCTTCCGTCTGCACACACTCTTTGCGTTGTCTGTCACTCTACTGATTGTGGCGCCGTTGACATTGCTTGTCACCAGTATCATTCTTTCAAGGGCTGATAAGATGTATCTCTTCCGCTCATCGGTGTATTCCGAGATCAACGACGACAATATCCCGTTGCGTGGTTTGCGTGGTTTCTTCCGGTTCCCTTTTTTGCTCTTAATTCCTACAGCGGTGACTGTCAGCTTGGCTTATATGGTTACAAAAGTCAACCCATTTATTGCTCATAGCAGCTCATACGCCGTATGGAGTATGATGATCTCAGCTTGGGTATTCTTAGCTTGGTTTGTATCTCGCATCGCAGACTTTGCACGCCCGTCAGCCTTTCATCGAGTCTATACCTGGACTTGGATGTTTGTTCTTACCTGGTCTCTCATGGTAGTTGGCACTGTTTATGAGCACGAGGAAGGGCTCGCTGGTGGCTATTTCATGTTCTTTTACTTTGCCGGTACCTTCTTGGCTACATGGATCTCCTATTTGGAGTTGTTCTCTCTGCCAACCAAGTCAGAATACGCTGCTAGATTATTTGAATCACGACGGCCTAGTACCCAGGGCAGCCGGCTTGCTACGTCGGGCGATGAGGACCAGGACGACGATACCGAAGAGGACTTGAATGAGTCAACATCGCTCTTGCATGGCCGGCACCGTCCCACTTTTGCCAACTACGTCCGCGTTGGGGTGGACCGCGAATCTCATGAACAGGACGAAGAGGATGAAGAGAAAGATCCAAACGTGTATGAGGACGAGCAGGGGTGGAGTGGCGTGTTGCCGCGATGGACGTGGCTGTTACAGCTGCTTATCACAGCTCCCGTGATTCTCATGCTGATCGTGCCGCTGGCTCTTCTGATTACCAGCGCCCTCAGCCAAACTGGTCAGGATGGTAACCCCCAGCTGATTGTTTATCTCTTTATTTCCAGTCTTACCGTACTCCTATTTGCACCTATTCTGCCATTTATCCACCGCTACACATATCACCTGCCTATCTTCCTACTCTTTGTTTTCATCGGAACCTTGATCTACAACCTTGTCGCCTTCCCGTTCGCAGACTCCAATCGCCTAAAGCTGTTCTTCCTGCAGGAGGTCGACCTCGACAATGGGATCTCTACTGCTTCGCTGACTGGCATGCCTCCATTTGTCAAGGAAGTTACCTACGGGCTCCCCAGCGCAGCAGGCCAAAATGAGGCCTGTGATTGGATTTTCCGAGGCAAAAACCGAGTCCAGCGATGCTCCTGGAATGCACCAGTACCACATGTTGTCCCCAGTCCTGAATCTCTATCCCTTTCAAACGAGGGTGTCGACTCTCTACTTGAGGCCTTCGAGCTGTCGCCGGACTGGATTTCCTTCAACATTTCCCACCCTCAATCGGACAGTTCATCTGTTCGCTTTGAAGTATCAGGCCAAAACACGCGTAACTGCCGTATCAACATGGACGGTAATTATATCACAGACTTTAGTGTGGTTGGCTCCTCCGCTCCAGACCATCGCTTCATAAACCCATCCCCAGATGGTCTGAGCCGGATCCAACTGTGGAGTCGTACATGGGACAACAAGTGGACCGTTGATGTCGATTTCTCAGAGCATGACTCGTCCGAGGCCGATGGCAATTCCTCTATCACGGGCCGTATTACATGCCTATGGAGCGACAATAACCGAATCGGCCTCATCCCCGCTCTCGACGAGGTGAGACAGTTCAGTCCGGCGTGGGTAGCTGTGACCAAGTTTTCTGATGGGTTGATTGAGGGATCTCGAGCATTCGAGATCAAGCGTTCGAGCCTTGGGACTTTGAGGTCTTGAGTCTTGGTGGTAGGAAAAACCTGGTCTCTAGCTCCTTTTTCTATGTACGATTTATGAGCTGTTTCGTTTCCATCCATCTTTTGAATTGTGTTGTGCGTGTATCATTGTATCGACGGGCATTTGTTGATTTATATTGCGGCTGAGACATATAACATATTGACTAGATTCTCCAAGTGCATGTGCTTGCTTAGGCGGTCTCTGACTTTGATAGTCTAATCCATTTGACTTATGATGATATTAGGGAAGGCCATAGGGCCCTTAGAGTCAAGGAGCGTTCAATTAAGAATATCCAACCTTGGAACACCGGCAATTTAAAGCTCAAGCTATAACCATCCGAGCTCTGGAACTATCCGGAGTAATTAAGCTTATCGGCGCTAAAGTTCTTTCTATCTATGGAAATCCATCCCCGGGAGTTTTAGACTATAATATTTAGCAGGTTCCAAATTGAAGATATCATTAGGAATCTGTATGCAGCTATATGAAACTGTTAACATATACATACTCGGAAAGCCTGCCATATTAGCTTATAGCCCGCCCCAATTCAAAATATTGTTTGCAAGAATACCCAGAGTAATATGGAAGCCACGACCGAAGAGCGATATAAATCCACACAGAACCGAAGGTGGCCTTTATATTCGAAAGAGAGAATGAGGGTTCAATCGACATAACTACAGGGAATCGTTTTATATACAAATAAAGATGAATACACATCTACACTCTCTAAGTTGCGTATTTGTGGATTCCCCATTAAGGAAGTTACTGGCTCTGCGGCACAGCAACTCTGGGTGAATCCTGGAGCTGGGCGCGAGGCCCGATATTTGAATCAGGAAAGTTTGAGTTTCCTCAGAGTTGTCGAGGGTGAGACCAGTTTGAAGACTGATCCATGTGTGATTTTCACGGAGAATGAAGATCGTATCTCATAAACCGCGATTCATAAAGTAAAAGGAAGGCGGAGGATATTGCCGTGACGGGATTTATTTTCACCCCGGTTTCTCGAGCAGTCCGCGACGACTTTGGTGACGCGGATAATGGCAGAGAGAATTGGTAAAGTCGATCGGGAGGTGATCCACATGATAAGCGCGGGCTTCATTGCTCCACGAGCCGGAATTGGTTCGTATGCGTTCGGCCGGTGAATGTTCGAACAAGGCGATAGAAATGTCATCAGCTTCCATCCGGGAAGGCCTGCGTTGAACGACACCAGGGACGGCACGGGTCACATCGGAGGTTACACGGCTTGCATCGACAAAATCGGGGAGTTCGCTTGGCGCAGAGAACGATTCGGGTTTCCAGACGTGATTGTGTACCAAGTGAATGAGTTTACCAAGGACGGCAAATTCAAGCTTTAACTTGATGCTGTATATAGCTCCTTTGAGCATGGTTTCCATGATGTAGAAGTCCAAGTACTCGGCGACGAGCAGGCCCAAGTCCAAAATGATGATGATGAAGTTGATGACCAGTAGTTGGTACTGAATCTTGCGCTTGGTACGGTCCGGGTCTAGGCGTAGCATGCGTACCGTTTCCCAGATATATAGCCCTGAAATGATGAATTCCTGCAGGCAAAAGCCTGTCATTTGGATCTTTTCCATTATATTGTAGCCTTTCGTCCACGAGCCCAGGGTGGCGTCGCTAGCCATGTTGGTACCGTAGGTGAGGACCGTAGTGGGAAGATGGAGGATGATTGCGTTGATCACGATCATGGTCAACACGCGACGCAGGACTCGCTGGTTTGATAGGACTAAGTGTAGGCGCGAGTACAGGACAACAGACTGGCCGGTGACCATGGACCACCATCCAATTGTGAGCAAAGTGACAGGGAGCCATGGAAGATGCTCGGTGATTTTGAAAAATTTGAGCATGAAGCCCAGCGAGTAAGGAAGTAGACCAGCGGAGGAGGAAATAAATAAACTCCAAAAGTAGAGTCCTCGATATTCTGCGAAGGTGACAAAGAGGAGGATCATTAGCTCGAAAGCATTGTACCAAGTGATACCAGCAAGAGTTGCGATGGCGATCTGCATGCCTAGGGAGGTGCCCTGGTAGTGACCGCTGATGCCATCCCCGGCGGCGGTGAAATCGCCCATGGCGTTGAGTCAGTATTAGGAGAATAGCATGGCGTGTCTCGTAGGTGTAAGTGGATGCGGGTGAGGTGGGATATAGGAGAATCTAAGGGGGGGGGGGGAACTTGGGGGAGACCCAGCCCTGAAAAAGAAATGAAAGAAATAAAGAAAAAATACTAAAAAAGGACAAAGAAGCAAAGGAAATGAAGCTGGGGCCGTATATTGCATGCGGTACCCCGGACTTGTGCAGTCCCCGTGTAGAAGTAACGTATGATATGAAATCATAATAGAAAGTATGTGGGTGTATGTATGCTGTATGTGGTAATAGTAGTGAGAGATCAAAAAAGCAAAAAGATTCGCTTCCCAGCCCGCGACTTCATGATTGGAGCTCTCTTTTTCTCTCGCCAGATCTCTCCAGATCTCACGAGTAGCCATATTGTGTGACCTGTCAAGTTGTGGTCTCCAGGTTCCACAATCTGACGAACTTATTTCAACGTCTCAACGTCTTACCTTAAACCTCCCAGATGAGGTTCAGGGGCAAGTTATTGAAAGTATCTCGGTAAAAAGCCACGGCTAAATGGTAAGCAACCCGCTTGCCGAACATTTCTAGCCTCACAGCCAGGATCATAGCCCGCTTCATTGCGCCACGGAGAAAAACTTGTTTACTAGCGGCATAGGTGCCTTTTTCCATCCGGTGAATTAGAGGGCCTTGCGTCCTTGCATCCTTTGTTCCAGGTCGCATATGACAGCGCGGACCTCGTATTTGAACTTGAAAAAGACAGGCCAGAACATACCGCTGCAACGTGGAGAGAATATCACCTCCCTGATTTGGCCAAGCGTTGTCCTGGAAGCGAGGCTGATGTCATCGGGAACTGGCGCGTGATCTGCTTACTAACATAGCCCTAGCCCCGGTCATTTGTATGAAAGACATGGGCCCCTGTTACGAACATGACGAATCAGAATTGATTTCTCCTCATTCATGATACCTCGTCCAATGATGCTCTTCGCTAAACCCAAACAACCAGCTCCTTGATTTTCTGATTACCGATGGGCAGCCTCTCTCAACTCTCGCGTAACCGAGACATCGGGACAAACCCGCGCCAGGAAGTTCTCGTAATTCATAATCTCATCATTGACAGCATTAAAGATCTGAACCCAAAGGCCATCCCGAGATCGGGAGCCCAGCCATGCGGCGCACATTTCTCGGGATCTTCAACGTATGATCGGAAGTTGGAACATGGCCTGTCTATGCTCTTCCGGGGCCACAATGCGGCCAATGCGCAGGATATAGATGTCGCTTCCATACCGGCGCGCGAACCCACGCGCAATGTTCTCACCGCACACCTTCGGGGGGTATGTGTCCATCGGGTTTGCGTCGACGGTTTCTTTGGCTGGGAAAGAGGATAATCTACGGCTCTCACTGCATAACTCACACTGTAGACAGTGGTAGAGCTAGCGATGATGATCTTTTTTATGCCAAGGCGCCAAGCGCCTTCAATTATGTTGTACCTTGCCGAGACGTTGCTGCGGAAGGTTTCTTCGTCTGGAACGATTATGTTACGAGAATATCCGGCCCGCGGAATGGCTCTGTTAAGTGGAAATGAGATCCCAGTCCGCTGTATACTTGTCCAATATTTGTCAGGTCTACACGCAAGGTGTACACTTGCTCCTCCAGCTCGACGGAAAGAGGAACGGTGTCGAGGTTCCGGATATAATAGCCTTGTTCAAGGGTTGGTCTGATGATGCGGGCATAGACTACCAAGACACCTCTATATGAATCGAGGTAAATCATAGATGGTGAATTGATCAGTGGCAGTCAATACACTCTAATTTGAAATAAAATTCGCAGATGCGTTTGAAGACTGACTGTTTCGCTTTTGCCGTGGACCCGGAAGATGACATCCCGAGGGTTTCGGCCCGACAGAGAACGAAAGCTTCCAGATGTAATTCAAGTAGGACTTGAGCGATCGACAATAAAGACGTTGTGTATAGAATAGTACTGTATATTATGTCTTTCTTTCTTCTAGGCAAAACGCATAGCATAACGTAGGCCATATTGACAAAAGAAACCATCAAATTCACGTTATACATGACACAAGACAGCAAGGGCAACGCTCGCATTGACCGCTTGGGTTTGTTAGCGCTACTGGTTGCTTACTCGGCTAGCTCGACCGTCATTCGAGGCAAATATCGTCCTATTGGTTATGTTTTTGTCTGCTATACGGCGACAAGTGCCGCGTATGCACGGCCTTGACCGACAGTCGACAAATATGCACATCGTATGTTTGCATTCTGCCTGATTGCAAACGAAAATTCGATGCTACAAGCGTATCAGTCGTGCAAGCGTCCTTGTTCTTTTCCGGGGATCTTTATAAGGGTTAAAGTGAGTAGCAAGGGCCAATATTGATTGTCTATAAGAAGGCTTGAGTTACCAGAGGACTGAGAAGAAGCTCTCGGCGTTCCCGTCTTACCCCAAATGCGGGGTTACGCCAGATCACACGTAAGACCCTTGCAGGATTCTGATTGGTAGCTTTCACCTGGTTAGGAGCCCCAATACACCTACCGGGTCATGATTATGGAGGTGTGAAAGCTGATTATATGTCTCATTTGTGTGATGAAAAAGCAAGGTTTGACGTGGTCTTAACGAAGAAATAGTATTATTATGTGGTAATGGGCGATCTGAGCATGATATAATCGGGTGATCACGATGATGGTACTAGCTCACACATGCTCTAATCTGCTTGATTAACGAGTACATTCACAACAATGCTTTGGATAATGTGCTCTTGCGGATAGTCTCAGCTAGTATACCCGCTACGGCCTTCATCCCATCAAGATTCGGATGGAGAAGCGGCCCCGATGCAAACCCTCCAACCCAGGGTTCTTTGCTACCAAGTGCATGTTCCTGACTGAGTTGGTGAATTGGGACTGTCTCACACCAATCAGTTCGACCTTCCACAGCGACAGAATATGCATGTTGTAGAACAGACGCAACACCGCGGTAATGCTGAATTCTCTCCTGGGTCAGCGGGATATCCCGACCAGCTTGAGTGCCAGGCCCCAAGACAGCAAGATATTCAACAAGGAAAATTCGAGCCCTCGGGGCCCGTTTGTGTATCTCATCAACGACCCCCGCTAGTCGTTCTGCCAATTCGCTGGGCGATAGTGACGCGGACGATTGGAGCTCGGCATCGCAAGCATCGGCGATCATGCCGCCAATGTAATTTATGTCGTTTCCTCCAGCGGTCACGGTGACGATATTGGCGTCTTCGGGGAGGTCGGAGACTTGCGGTGGGAAGGTCATGTTGAACGGAGTAGACTGTGGATCGACTGTTATGTTGAGCAACGTTGCACCAGAAACGCTTAGATCAGTGAGATCAGCGTTCAAGTGCTGCGCCAGAAGATGGGGGTAATTCTGTCCTGATCGCAACGCTGCACGTGGTTCGATTTGTGGGGGAATGTCAGGACCAGCAGCAAAGGAGCTACCTAGACTTGCAAGTTTGAGTTTCTTTGGGGGTTCCATAGTCGAATATGTCAGGAAATAGAGGGACAGAGTATTACTTCAACGTTGACTTGAAGTTGGAGAGTAGTTTTGGCAAAAAACCAAGGGAGCGGGAATAAACCTTGGTTGGACCAATATTAGTCAGCCGAAAGCTACGGGGCCGGGGCCGGGTGCCCACCTTAAGGCGCAGGGCCCGGGCCCGGGTCTTCAGGGGTCTGGGCCATCTTTAAAAAAATACATGGACGTTACTCCGTACAATGTGCAGGGAAATAGATTTCGAGTTCAGATTTATGTTGGAGCTTCTTACTCCAAATTTCTTACTTTACAAGTCTGATGAGCGAAACTCATCGTCCATTGTTGGCGGCCCAACATACTTCTCGTACCCCCAAACCCAGTACCATCCAGAAGCAATTAGTATGAATGCAACAAACACCACCGGTGCGTAGTTGACCGTATCGGCAGCGACGGGGATTGAAGAAGGCATGCAAAATAGCGGAATGGCAAGAAGACTCCATGCTAGAACGAATATGCATTAGCGATAGCGAGAAATCGTGCCCACATCGTGCATGCTTACCCAATGTCACAATATTGCAAACCAGCCCGAGTGTGCCAAGATCGAATTGGCCATTCTTTATGTGTCTTCGACCTCCAGCAAGAGACACAACGATTGGGCAAGCATAGCTGACAGTCAAGGTAATAACTCCGACGCCTGTGAATGCATTAAATGCAGTAGTTGACCCGAAGTAGATAAAGCCAAGCAATATCTGAATAACCATGCCAAGTATCATAGCATTGAAAGGTACGCCGTCTCTGTTTACCTGCTTCCACCATCTGGAGCCTGGTATACCTCCATCGCGAGCAAACGCCCAGGTGCTTCGGGAGACGGTCGTAGTACAGCCAATGACACAGAACATCGAGAGCAATATCAATGGTAGGAGAAGCAGGAATGATCCAACTGAACTTCCAACAGCGGACTTGATAATACTCGGAACTGGTTGACCGGATTCGAGAGCTGCTAAAACCTTTGTGTCGGGGAGCACGAAAACCAATGGAATAAGGAAGAGGAACCCGGCGAGGGTATTTAGAATGACCGTTCCAACCATTGCTTTTGGGACTTGTGTTGATGGTTGCTGAACTTCTTCACACATACTTTTGACGCGTCAGATATAGGGTTTTCATAGTAGAAATGAGATGGGAGATAGTCATCTGGGGTGGGAAACAAAACATGTTACATACCAAATCACCATGCCAGTGGAAGAAGTGCTATAAGCTGCCTGTAAAAGTCCGACGCAGAGAGACCAGCCTGCTGGCCAGCCAGATATCGGCTCAAAACTAGTAAAAACATATTTGGCGTCATGTCTACCCTCTTTCGCAACCACAAGAACACATATCACAATAGCCAACACTCCTATAAATGTCACGAATATTGCGAATGTCTAGCTTCTGTATTAGCAAGCGATGTTGTAAGGGTTATGGTTTAGACATACGTCAAGGTAAGGCAGCCATGCATTTCCATATGTCGATATTGCGTTAGCGAGAAATGTGACTGCGATAAATATAAGAAAAACTTGGTACGTTTCCGCTTCGAAGATTCCTACTCCTGGAGAGGATTCGAAAATGTTGATACATGAAATGAGGAATAGAGTACTCCCAAGGTTGACTGCAAGCGTGATGGTGATATTTCCAACAACATATGACCATCCGCAAATCCACGAGGCGATTCTTCGATATGACGGTGGAGATATCATAAAAGTCTGGTAGTAGACCCCTCCAGCAGTTGGATAGACTGAGGTGATTTCGCCAAGTGAAGCAGCCACACATAGCGTAATCAAAGAAATGGCAAGCCATCCCCAGATTATGTTGACAGGGCCTCCCCCAACAAGAGGGTAGGTGAAAGTCGTAGCCAGTCCGTATGGAATTGCTGCGAGCACAAAGGACATGAAGGCCACCTGAAGCGTGGAGCGGTTTCGAATGAGTTCAGGCTCATAGCCCAGGGCTTCTAGTACCCCATTTGCTGACGATTGTTTGCCTTCTTCGATGTTAGGGTATTCCGCAGGTGCATAGGCCTCGGAGCCTTTGCTCTTCGAAGAACGACGCTGGTTGGCAGTAACATCGCCTGCCATGATCGAGGTTTAACAAAATCGGGATGAGGAATGAAAGAGTGAATAATCCTCTAGGATAAAAAGATATAACAAGGGTAAGTTTCAAATAGTCAAATCTTGGGTATAGTTGGATAAAACCTACAGAGGAATTTTCGGACGCAATAAGCATTAGGAATTCGGGCTGTTTATCTCCTATTCTGGTGAGGGGAGGTGCAGATATTCATAAAACTGACCATATTTACGAGTGAGGAGGAAATTCACTCAAACTGTTATCCCATATCTCCCCGGAGCAAGTTCCCAAACACGGTATCCACCGAGTGGAGAAATGGATTTATGCCGAGATGACGTTTAACTGGAGATTCCATCTGGGCACCTATGCAATCCCCTATGACGTGAAGATAAGACGAGCAGTGAGATTGGACCGACAATAGGTACTCAGCTGAAACATCGATGATCCTCTCCTGCTTACCCACCAACACTAGTACGAGATAGGTTAGAGTATTGACGCTTATGCACGGCGGCTACGCTAATCCAAATATGGACTCCATGTGGATCACGAGGTCCTGATGGTCCGGAATCCCCTCTCGAGCCCTATAGGACTGGCATTGTGAGAGATATATGGGTAGCGATTGGTATTGATTGGTTGGAGGCCTAGATAGGTAATTGTAATCAATGGGCAGCTCGGCAGTTGATATTTATAAGAGTATATTGCCAGATATCCGAACTCCCGGGAGGCCATGATCATAACATCAATGACCTTACGGCTAGAGATATCCGGTAAATTTCCCCTCACAATACGGAGAAAGCTAAGATGAGAGAACATGAACTACTCCGCATAGATGATGTCATGATACGGTGCGGAGAGAACTCAACTCAGAAACAGTTGCTATTGACGGAGAGTTGGAACATGGATTCTGTTTTTCCACCAAGAATAGTGAAGGGCTTCTTCCCAAGCGTTTTGTCAGAATATGCCGAGTTTTTTGAAATTTCTATAATATCAACTCCAGCATATGCATATGCACATACACATACCCCTTATATGCAAGTTGTTTCTTAAAGCACTTGTACTTGATATCATTCAAGTTAAAGCTACATATATGACCTGTGGCATACATCTCTCCGGGCCAACTCAGGGGCTGATGACCCGAAGGTCAAGATTCCCCGAATGAGAAA